GAATTGTTTTGAGGAATTAATTTAGTGACAGCCAAGTGGAATCATGAATCCCAACCTGATTAAAATCTAACTCCTATCATAATTGCATTTGGGTATTTCACTTGAAAGCTTAGAATCATTTTATTTTAATCTTCAAATTCAATGATATTAATTGTGTGTGTCTTGACCGTTTTTCGAATTAACTCCCATGTAATTGGAATAAACACAATTTGAGGGATTGACTCGGACTCAAAAAGTCCAATCAATAACTTGTGCGCGACCCGTGCACTTAAGGTGTAGTATTTTAGCGAACAATGACCTATAAAATTTTTAATCTGTGCCCTAGAGAAAATCTGTGACTAACTAATTTGATAATATATGACCAATAAATAAGTTGTGAGCTATAATTATGTATATGTGATCATTAATTGTATAATAGTGACCTTATTATATTTAATTAATCAATATTCTTAAATAATTAGTTAATACCTGATTTTTGCATTCTTTTTTAAAACTTAAAACCTAATTTTTGAATTGTCCATACTTAATAAATGACTTATGAATTTTTCTCAAACAACAAAATGGGACTTAATAAGAGGCTCAAAATATTTGGACACAACTTACATTCTTGGTTTAATAAAAAAAATGGACCTACTATTTAACTATTACCTAGTTCTGTCTCTTCTTCTTACATTCTTGGTTTAATGAATAAAATGGACCTACTATTTAACTATTACCTAGTTCTGTCTCTTCTTCTTTTTTTCGTGTTTTTTTTTTGGCCCCTTCATCCCTGCCAAAATCTAGAAAAGAAAATTAAGGAAATCTTCCATATATTTTTTTGCTAAGCTTATAAAGTTTCTTTAAAATTTAAAAATTAATTTTTATGAAAGTTAGAAGTAAATTATTATTTTAAAAGTGATCTTTTCATTTATATTTAAGAGTTTCATAACAATTTGTCGCCTAGGGTGACAGGGTCTCATATTTCTCAGGCTGGCCCTAGGTAAACCAAATAGGTTTTACAGTGACCTAAATGTATGGTATAATTTGTGATTTGAGTCTTAAACTTGATAAATTATATAGGGGGGAGAAAATGTACTTGGTGCAACTTGCAAGGGCGGATTGGTTATAGCTGTGGGATAGAGACACAACTTACTTTCACCGTGAGGTAGCAGGTCAAATTTTGAGAAATGAAATATTTGTCTTACTGAAAATTGAAGGCGTGTGCTTTTTCTCATATAACCACTTCTTCTCAATCACACGTGGGGCATTTCTTGGAAAAGAAGTCGGAATAATATCAGAGCTATATGACAAATTGATGCTTCCACACGTGATATCTGGTTGCTTTTTTGATATAACCACTTCTTGTCAGTCGGACATGGGGCATTTCTTGGAAAAGAAGTTGGATTAATATTAGAGCTATATGGCAAAGACATTTACAACATTTGATACCAAATATGCACTGACTGGTATTGTCCCGTTTAACGCTTCTTGTATGGATGGGTTTCATGTGGATTTCTATCAGTGAATTGGGAGGAAAATCGTTTAGTTTAGTTTTTCTTAATAAAAATTAGAAACTAAATTCTATAAATGGTAACTAAATGCCAGAAACCACTTTATGTAATTTTATCTACAAAATCATGGTTGTAGTCCAATCTATACCCACACTACACAATGAGCATTGGTAGGGGAAAAAGATGGGGCACATAGGAAAGAATGTGTTAACAGAAACATCGAGGAGGAATTTGTTCCAGAGATTTTGTTCCAATTGCAAGATAAAGCTGGTCAAATATTAAAGCCTCCTTATAACGATCCAGCCTCTTTGTCCAAGCTGTTAACTTATGTATTGTCCGCTTTGAGAGAGTTTAACTCATCTTGCCCCCATGACTTTCCATTAGATACTTGAGAATTCAAACTTAAGACCTAAAGAGACTAACATTGATTAAGCCATAGCTATATTTGAACAAATCATTTATGGGAATTATATGGGCAGCAGCTATATTTGGATAAATCAATTATGGGTATTATATAGACAGAATATGATTATGGACAGATTATAGTTTAGCCTTATACATTATCTCTGTAAATAATATTTCTATAAATAGTCCCAGACTTGACATATAAGTACAAGAAACCATCATCAATGAAAATATACTGGAATTTATCTTTTCCTTCATGGTATTAGAGCCATAACAGGCCAACACCGAGCATTTTTTATCCACTTTCCCACCTCCTTTCAATCGCAAAGACACCACAGTCAGAGGAGTCCGGCATTTTACACTTGACAAAGTTGATCACAGAAATGTCCGAACTTACCACCTCCCCATCCAACTCCTCTCTCCCTCTCAACCATAATATCTCATCTCAATTTCCAGTTCTCGTGGATAGGAATAATTATCTCAGTTGGAAATCTCAATTTGTAGACATTGTGGACATTCATGGACTTGGAGATTTCATAAAAAATACTGTGAATCCACCCAAAGAGATGGCGGATAGAACCGTCCGCCTGGATTTTACTCGAGACAAATTAGTTTTGAGTTGGATTAAGGCAACATCCTCATCTTACACCAAAACGCTCAAGCATGGAGCCTATTGGCTAAAGGTCTCTCACCACTAGCTGGTAGCCATGTGCGGCTCCTCCGGGATGAAACTCGAACACCTAAATGGGACAATGATGGCCCAATATCTGTCTATCAATCGAGTAAAACCACTCTTTGATTCATTAAAGTAGACTGGTAGTTCTATGGATGATGATGACCTCATCACCTACACTCTTGACGGACTTGGACTGGAGTTCAAATATTTAGCAACAACACTCCATATGCACCTCGATCTCGAATTTGACCAATTTTATGATTTAGTTTTGAAAGAGAAGCACTTACAAAAGAGACTCAATCGTACCACTACTTCTAGAGTTTCCATGGTATCTAATCATAATCAGAATACTTTTCCCTCATCATGGTGGCAACTGGGGACATGGCAGAGGCACTCGTGGTCGTGGACAACGATTCCCTCCTTCCAGTTACCATCCATCAACATGGAATTGGAGTTGCCCTCCTTACAATCAGCCACCACCATCTCTCTCCGACGGATGCCCCCCCTTTTCTCACACCGGTGGCTGCTTCTTCACGCAAGAATCCAATTTATTTTAGGTGTGACAAAATGGGCAACATTGCTCGTTATTGTCCAAACCATGGGCCTCAGACATTTGTGGCCCCACATGCTTCCTTTCCCACAACAGTCCAAAACTCCACTTGGTGTTTTAATTCCAGGGCAACCCATCATATAACTCCCAACCTATATGGTATTTTAGTTTCTCGCCCTTATATAGGTAAAGACACTATAGTTGTTGGTAATGGAAATGAACTAAAAATGACTCATATTGGGAATGTAAAATTAACTAGATCCCAAAAATTATTAAATCTTAATGAGGTTTTATATGTTCCTGTCATTCAAAAAAAAATTAATTTCCATTTGACATCTTTGTCGTGATAATGCCTATTTTCTTGAATTTGATACTAATGGATTTCGTGGGAATGGCAACAAGATAGGGACTATCCTTCTCATTGGGAATAGCTCGGATGGACTCTATCATATTCAACCATCTCCACTTGACACCAATCGGATAGCTCTCTATGGTGCTCGCACGACTCCACATGTCTAGCATACCCACCTTGGTCACCCCGCACAATCTATCTTTAATATTTTGTCACATACATGCAATTTACCTGTTCATTGTGCAATTAAATCTTTTAAGAACTGTCATATTTGTCCATTGGGCAAATCTTGTCAACATCCTTTTAACTATCATAATCTCCATAAACAATGTCCATTGGATATATTAAATCTTGATTTATGGGTCCCTCGCATATTGCATCACACGATGGATTTCGTTACTATTTATCCATTGTTGATGATCACACCCGATTCACTTGGCTCTATTCATTGGGACAAAAATCATAGGCTTTCTCCAACTTCATTACATTTACTAAAATGGTCGAAAATTGGTTTATATCCACTATTAAACAAATTTAAATTGACAATGGAGGTGAATTTATGAGCAATCTTTTTATCTCATTTCTTCACGATCATGGAATTTCTCACCAAGTTTCTTGCCCACACACTCCTCAACAAAATGAAGTGGTAGAAAGAAAACACCGCCACATTGTGAGTATGGGCCTGTCTCTTAGCCCAATCTCATCTTCCATTCAAATTTTGGGTAGAAGCCTTCTTTACCGCAATATTCTTAATCAATTGATTGTGGACACCTCTTCTCGGCTCCAAGTCTCCATTTGAACAACTTTTCTCTCAGGTCCTGGATTATACTATCCTTGGGAGTTTCGGGTGTGCTTTCTTTCCTCATTTAGTACCATACAACAAACATAAACTTGCATTTAAATCCACACGGTCTGTATTTTTTGCATAGATGACTCACTTCAAGGGATTTCGGTGCCCTGACATGACAAGCGGCCGGGTCTATATTTCATGAAATGTTGTTTTTAACAAAACAACCTTTCCATATGCTACGCATTCACCTCCTGGTGCAACTTCTATAGCCGTCGGTCCCAACTCCCTTGCTATATCAATTGTAAATTTAATTGGCCCCCATGATATTGATTCCCTAGTCGCACCCATCCGAGATTGAGACCAATTCTTCTCCCTTATTGAGCCCAATTGATCCTTCCAGTAAACTTTCCTGACTAACGCATGGGTCTTCATCTTCTTTGGCCCCCCCTTTCCCTAAGTTAGGTATACATTCTCCTTCCTAGAACCTTACTTTGGACCTACTTTCATCTCATATTAGCTCAACTCTCCAGCTTACCCCTACACGTAACGACAATTGCCCAGATCTCTCCTTCCAGATACTAACCAATGCTTCTCCCTCCTTTTCTCCTGACTCCCCAAACTCTCTAAAAAAGTTTTCCTCCCTCTCCTTCCTCTACTCTCAACCCAGTCATCACCCCCTATCCCATGCATTATCCATTATATTATTCAATCCCTTAAATCACAAGCCTACCAGCTTTATGGTTGCTTCTCGATATCCTCATTGGATGTTGGCTATGGACGATGAGTATAATGCTCTCATGCGTAATAACACATGGACACTAGTTCCAGCATCTCCTTCGATGAACGTTATAGGTTGTAAATGGGTGTTTAAAGTGAAACGTAAACCGGATGGGTCCATTGATTGTTACAAAGCAAGTCTTGTGGCCAAGAGGTTTAATTGAATGGAAGGTCTTAACTTTGATGAAACATTTAGTCCAATGGTCAAACCAGCTACGATTCGCACCATCCTTACCGTTGCTACTTCCTATAATTGGCCTCCTCCAACAACTTGATGTTCAAAATGCCTTCTTAAATCGGGTCCTACAAGAAGAGGTCTACACAAAACAACCCCTAGGTTACCATGATCCCTCTTGGCCACACCATATGTGTCGTCTTTATAAGGCTCTCTATGACCTTAAACAAGCCTCCGTGCTTGGTTTCAACATCTTCGCTCTTTCTTATTGGACCATTAGTTCACTTACAGCCACTCTGATGCTTCTCTAATTTACTCACACTCCCCAGTTGGCTCCATCTTCATTCTTATATATGTTGATGACATTATAGGCACTGACTCAACAATAAATTGCACAATTGTTCATGAATACAAGTTTATTGTTGCTTGTCTTAACATGTTATTATCTTTTACAAGTGTTGTTGCCAGAAAAATCAAGCAAACAAGGCAGATTCTGTAAACGATATATAAGCACATAAGTATGTGAAAAAGTGCCTTCAGCGTGAATCATGCAAAACATGTGCAATTTGGCTAATAAAATATGTATTGCGAAAACATTAATATATACAGTAACATTAGCCTGGCAAAATTGTCAAACTTTTAACTCCATTATAACAAATAATTTAGGTAATTTCAAAAGGATTTTAATGTACTACCTATATTATAGATTCAACACAGTACGTCAATAAATTACTATATTATATAACATCCATTTAAGATTGTGAGGAAGCAATATTTATTAGAGTTGCTTTGGTCTTTGAGAAACTAAACTACTTTAATGAAATTTATCTATATAATTCCACTTGATTCTGTGTCTTGTTTCATTATTGTTACCACCTAAAAATCATTTATTCAATCTACTCCAATTCTGTAACGAATTTGCTTAAGTCGATTTGTATTAGCATTTACGAAAATTACCATAAATTGCATGATTGTTCATAAATATGAGTTTATGATTGCTTGTTTTGGCATGGATTTTTTTTTTTTGAATGTGTTGATGAGAAATTATGTAAAAAACTAAATTCACAGAATGATAAATAGGAACTTAACTACCAACAGATGCAGAGTTTGTTATCTGCTTCAACTACAAACAGCTTATCCGAGTCACCATCCAAAATCACACAATCATCTACGTCAAAGTCCTCAATTTTTGTAATGGGCTTCAAAGTCAGTATGTTTGATTCTTCAGGGTTCAGAATAGCCTCTCTCACAACCAGTATGTCATCAGAATCATCTGCATTTACCTCCACCTTGGCTAATAGCTTTGATAACCACACTTGGTCTTCTACATCCCAACCCTCGTCACAACCTTTTTTCTGGTCTCCCCGACACTGGCCTCCTCATTGTAGCTTATCTTTATTATTATCGAGATGCAGGGACGGATTTGGAGGGCAGGGCAGGGCTGTAGTCCCCCCCCTTCGGCCCAACAAATTTTTTTTAAAGGTATTTTTTATTTTTTTGGTAAAAAACCAGTTTTTTATGTGTAAATTTTTTTTTTCTACGTAGCAGCTCAATTTGAAAATTTGTAGCCAAGTCTTGGATCCAATCCTGAATCTGTCCCTGTCGGGATGGGATTTTGCATCACAAGAAGCTTCACTTCTCTAGTCCAGGTTGTAGAGGGATCCCCTCATATCATCATACTGAACTCAAAGCTATTGGGTTTTGATGCCTAATAACTCCCCGAGCAATGATGTTAAATCATTAGTTATTCAAACTCTATCGACCCAATGTCTGAAGTGAAATATCAACACCTCAACTATTTTGGACCATTGTAAGTAGTGTAATTCAATTAGAACTGCTCATGGTCCGACCCTTCACTCCTTGGAAGTCTTTTGGTGTTTGGCCCACTTACTCATTTTCTTTTGTCTTCTTTTGGGCCTAATCCATTACTTAACTTAAAAGCCTAATCTACTACGATATATGTGCAGCCTCTTTGCTTCGAAAAATAGGTATTATCGCCTTAAGAAAAACCAGTCGCTCTTCTTCTTCTTCTTTGTGCTACTGCCTGCCTTCGATTTTTTTTTCCAGTTCTTTCTTCTTCCTTTATGGCTGCTGTGTGGTTACAATAACCTCTATTTTTTTCCTTTGTGGGCAACACAAAAACAACTGGAGTTGGGTGGAAGTTCTAGAAGATTGGGTTGTTATTTGTTGGTGTCAATCTCGGCTGGTTTGATAAAATTGAACCCGAAAAACCTTGGTGATCAATTCTTCCTTATACATTTTGTATCAGGGCCACAATGGTGGTGGACTTTTGGCCAAGAACCAACTCGAAAACCAACAGAATTGGAGCTCAAACCAAATCAAAAAATCTGCCTTGATTTTTTTGTAAAAAAAAGGGACTTGTAAGCTCAACTTCCAGGCAATCCAGAGATCCATTGGTGAAACAAAGGCTGGACTTGAGATGTATAGGGTGTGTGGCACGTGTGGTCGACAATAACGTGCATGGGAATTCCAATGTCGAGCTTGTGGGCACAATTTCCTGATGATTTCTTCGGGCATAATATTGCTAGCGTGATTTCTAATTTAGGTTATATAGTGATTCTTGACGATTTTGCTCCCGCAAATTTGTGATTTGATTTTTTGCTCAATTGGCTGCAGTAGTTGTTGAAGACTTTTGGGAGAATAGTGGTGGCTTAAACCAATAGTGACACGACCTGTCACGAATCACCCGAGTGGATCCGAAACGTGACGTGCATCGATGATAGATGTTGACTACATGTCAAATCTATCACCAAGGCTGACTATGAGTTATTTAAAAAAAAAAAAAAAGAAAGCTTCAAAAGCAAATGCTTATGTAAAACATAATATGATGGCCCCAAAATATTTACTTAGTGCTTCATCAATATAAGTTATAACACTGAACAAGTCGTGTGGCTCTCCTTTTGAAATCACTAGGCTCTTCCAGCTAAAAAGAATCAATTGCTACCTATAGGAGAAATCACAAAAAAAAAATATGTGAGTTGATTGCTTAGTGAGTGGAGATGTTCGAAAATAATTATATTTTCAATTTAACATCTTTATCGAAAATCGAGTTCATATCATTGAATAATTCACAAGATGACATCATATAATAATATCCGAAATGTGAGACATTCACATAACGTCACAAAATATCATCTCAAAGTCAAGCTATAAATATCAAATGATAACTATACTATAAGCTCATCATATCAAATATACTGAAAAATCCAGCAAAAATGAACCCTCTGACTGAAATATGTAATCTGCCCCTTGGGCTAAAAACTTTCACCACGGGCCTTTGGCCCCCTCCGTGAATGAAAGTGGGTTTCAAAGACCTCTGATAACCAATTTTAAAACACCGCCAAGACCTCTCCGTGAACTATATGTACACGGTCAAGACCCCTTCATCCACGATCCAAGACCACTCAGTGTAGTATAGAACACGACCAAGGCTCTCCAGTGAACTAGAGGAAATATATAATCACGGGTACTTTTCTGGTCAATTTCAATATCATGTCTCATATTTTAATTAATTAATGTATCATATACCATCTTTGAAATTTCACGTGTATCATAGTAAAAGAAACTTCGATGATAATCTTATAACTCATAAGTTATCCATGTACATTCTTTATGATTTCACATATATCATAATGAAAGAACCTTTCAAAATAATCATGTAATTGTACAAGAAATTCACTTAACTGCACATAATTTAGTAACATACTTAATTTATAAATACTTTGAAATTATTTCAGTTTCTCCACTCACAGAACTATTCATGCAAAATCAACTCGGTTGGTAAGCTGTCCAGATGTCCTTATCGCCGCCTAAAATACGATATAATTTTTAGATCAACAATTGACTACTTTAAGTATTTTCAAGAATTAAATAGGAGATACTCAAACTTAATCTTTTCACGTTTAAGCGATATCTAAAGTTTCTTTAATCATTTAGGCTAATTTTTCTTTCATTTAACTTAATTTTATAGCTTGTTATACTTATTCAATAATTGCCTTTCAATAAAATTGAATTTAAACTAACAATCGAACAACTATAAAATTAAGCATAACTAGACGATATGTAACTTTTTACTTATCGTTCAAAATTGAGGTATTCAAGCCTAATAGTATAAACCAATTATTTTTTAACAGCTTGGCGATTCTTTCTATTTTTCTCTTGCTTTCCCCCTCCCTCACTATACCATTTTCTCTCTTTGTAGGTATTGTGTGCGTTTGTATGTGTGAAAATGGATTTGTTTGTGAATAAAATTTTTATTAATTCTTTTGGAACCCCCTTTTCCCCAATTTTTCTGGACGTATCGAAGGAAAAGAAATTGCACGTGTCGAATGGATTAGAGAAGGTATGCGAAGAGAGCCGGCTCAGCTTTTCTGAATGATAAGGATCAAGTCCTCCCAGAAAGTCCAGAAAGTAGTATTCTAATTCAGATGTGGGGCTCAAACAAGTCGATCTTATTCCGCAACTCGGGTCGATATGTTTGGGCAGAAATAATCAGAAGATAAAGAAGTATCGTTAATTTCTTCATGATTGTTTATATCAATCCAATTCACCACCTGACTTTTTGCCTTTTATTATTTTTTGTTTGGTTTCATTTTTTTATGGCTTGACATCTTTGACCATTTTTTTTTACTTGTTTTAAATTGAGACATTACAAGTAACTTAGCATCTCTCATTATTTATGAACTTGGATCAGTCCACTCTGGTAATTTGGCTTTATTCTTTTTAAACTTTAGCATTAGTGTGTCTTCTTGTGGAGTGACATTAGGATTGGAGTAACCGTGAAGGATAACCATTGCTTGTGCAAGAAATTTTGGAATTACTTTCCATATTTGAATGAAACCATGGAAATTTAGAATGGTGCATATTGTGACCTTAGGATTACTTTGTGTTAATTATTGTGTATTTTGGTGGTTCTGTTTTCAAAAATGACTTCTCATTTTGAAATGGGAATTTTCAATGGAAAAGATGACTTTTCAATTTAGCAACAAAAGATGAGTGAAATTTTTGTTTAACAAATGGTTTCAAAAGCCATAGATGATAATTTTTCTGAAAATTTTGTCAAAAGAACAAAAAGAAAAATTTGACAAACTTGCTTACACTTCATTTATTTTACACCTCTCGAATACCATTTTTGAAAAAGTTGGTAAACTTGAAACCACAAAAGAACTTTGAAAAAAGTTAGAAAACTTAGATTTTTTTAAGTCTACTCCTAATAAGTAGTACTGCTCAAACGAACTTTAGTTTTAAAATGGATCATTTAAAGGATCTTAATGACGACTTAGATGTTTTTAATAAACTTGTCCAAAATATTGTTAACTATGATGAGAATGTGTCTGAAACATAGGAGGGCCTATTATTTTTCTGAATTCTACGACTTACGCATATGGGGAGGTTAAGAATGCGATTAAATATGGTAGGGATACTTAACATTCAAGATTATCATAGATTCCCTTAATAGTAAGGGGCTGGAAATTAAGG